GCCTTAGCCGGTTGAGCTATAGGTGCCGAGCCTATTCTCTCTCTTTTACTAAAGTAATAAAGACAACTCTGGCTAACCTAAACAGAAAAGGGCGAGTTTATCATAAGGATACAAGATTATTTTATGGGCTGATGTGGTGGCTCATGCCTGTAATCCTAGCACTCTGAGAGGCTGAGGTGGGTGTATAGCCTGAGCTTACGAGTTTGAGATCAGCCTGAGCAAGAGTGAGACCCTGTCTCTAAGAAAAATAACTGGGTGTGTGGTGGGCTCCTGTAGTCCCAGCTACTTGGAAGGCTGAGACAAGAGGATAGCTTGAGCCCGAGTTTGAGGTTGCTGTGAGCTATGACAGTCTACTGAGGGCAACTGAGGCACTTATCTAAAAAAAAAGAAAGAAAAAGAAAGAAAGAAATATTCCTGGATCATAGGATGACACTAGAACAAGGGTTTGGAAATCTTACGTGATTTTTTATTTAATTTCTTTTTCAAGTAGAGGTCGTCCTTTTGATGGCATTGTGAATCAGGAAGACTTGCCAAAAGCAGGACAGGAAATCATCATCTGAAAGTAAGAGGGAGCAGTGAGGAATGAGGAGAGAAGCAAGTATTTGCCTATGAAAGCCCAAGAAAAATAGTTTCAGGTCTAACTGGTGTCAAGTGTAATTGGAAGGAAGAGAAGTGAGGATGATGCTATTAGGTTTATCTTTATTTAGCAGTGATTTACCCAGCAGAGTGAAGGGATGTGTTGAAGAGCGGCTAGCTTGCTGGCTTCCTCTCTGCTTAAAACCAGGAGGCTGAGCAGTAGTATCTGTAAGGTCCCTTCAACTCCCAAGCTCTAAGTTTTGCTACTTAGGCAGCATCAGCAGTAAGATTGTGAAAATGCACAATCTCTGGTACCATCTCAGATTACTAAATTACAATCTGCATTTTAATATAATTCAGAAATAGTGAAATGAATTTTGTACATCTAACAATGGATTATTATGCAGGCATTAACATGTGTGTATGTTATTTGCATGTAATATAGTAAGAAAATGATGGTTAATGATTAATGATTTCATTATTCCTTTAAAAAAACACTTCTGGCTCTGTGCCTGTGGCTCAAGCGGCTAAGGTGCCAGCCACATACACCTAAGGTGGCGGGTTCGAATCCCCAGCCCCGGCCCGCCAAACAACACTGATGGCTGCAACCAAAAAATGGCCAAGTGTTGTGTCGGGCACCTGTAGTCCCAGCTACTTGGGAGGCTGAGGCAGGAGACTCGCTTGAGCCCAGGAGTTGGAGGTTACTGTGAGCTGTGATGCCATAGCACTCTACCCAGGGGGATAGCTTGAGGCTCCGTCTAAAAAAAAAAAAAAAAAACCATACTTCTACGAATTAAAAAGTCTGAAAGAATATAAACCAAATTGAGTTGTGGATGATTTTACTTTTGTATTAGCGTAATACCTGAACTTTTAAAATGTGTGGGTTTTTTGTTTGTTTGTTTGTTTGTTTTTTGAGACAGAGCCTCAAGCTGTCACCCTGGGTAGAGTGCTGTGGCATCACAGCTCACAGCAACCTCCACAGCCAACCTTAACCTGGGCTTAAGCAATTCTCTTGCCTCAGCCTCCCAAGTAGCTGGGACTATAGGCACCCACCATAACGCCCAGCTATTTTTTGGTGGTTGTTGTTGTTTGGCAGTTCTGAGCTGGATTCGAACCTGCCAACTCTGGTGTATGTGGCTGGCACCTTAGCCATTTGAGCTACAGGTGCTGAGACAAGGTTTTTTTTGTTTGTTTGTTTGTTTGTTTTTATGAGACAAGAGTCTCAAGCTGTCACCCTGGGTAGAATGTGGTCGCATCATAGCTCACAGCAACTTCCAACTCGGGCTCAAGTGATCCTCTTGCCTCAGTTTTTCTATTTTTAGCAGAGAGGGGGTCTCTCTTTTGCTCAGGCTGGTCTCAAACCCGTGAGCTCAAGCAGTCCACCTGCTTTGGCCTCCCAAAGTACTAGGATTACAGGCATGAACCACCACACCCAGCCTTAAAATGTGTGTATTTTAATTTTATTGGGGGAAAAAAGCACAAGCTCATTTCTGTCATTTTGAAGTCATTTCAGATTTAATGCCTTAGCATAATAGTTAAGAGTAGAGACTCTGGAGTCCACCAGGATTTGACTCTACCATTTGCTAGCTTCCCAGCTTTTTAACAGAGGCTTAGTAATTTGACTTCTGGGAGCCTTGGGTCTCTCTTCTCTAAAATGTAATAATAATACAGTCTACATCTTAAGAATTTTGCGAGTTAAATGAGATATTCCACATTCAGTGCTTAGCACAGTGCCTGGACATAGTAAGTGCGTGATAACTGTCAGCTCTTATTACTATTATTCCACTTTTTGAGATCCATTTGCATCCTCCCAATCCCCCCCCCCAAATTCTTCCCCTGACAAAGAAATAGCAAAAATAACAATAAAAATAAACAACAAGTACAAGCAACAGTACAAGTAATCTGATAGCAACAACAAGCAACAATAAGCAACAGTACAAGTAATCTGATAGCCTTCAGTTAGTAACAAATTATAAAGAAGTAAGAGCAAGGTTTCCAAAACTCCCCACCGTTAGAATAGGCACAAGAAATTTAGATAAAAGTACATGGTGTTAAAGCTAATGCTATTATTCTGTAGAGACTAACTGTAGACTGCTGATTCATTTCTTCTATAATGCAGATAATCTCTCTCATTGTTGTCTAATTTCTTTGTGACAGGACACTGGAATTAGTTTTAGAGGAAGAGAAATGGAGGAGCCATAGAACATTAAGGATGAATTCAGGAAGGCCTGAGACCATGGAAAACTTGCCTGCTCTCTACACTATTTTCCAAGGAGAGGTATATTCTTTTATGTTTTGAAAACATCGTTTATGTTAATAATATATTGAGAGTGAAAAGCAACTGGATTCGATGCCCCTAGCTACTTTAGACTATCTTGAGCATTATAGATTAAATAGGAAGGGCTAGTGGAGCATCTGGCTACCACTTGTATCTCTGGTAAGCTCCACACTAACTGCACACTTGACATCTTCATTTGGATACCTGGTGTCATCTCTACTTATGTTTTAAACTGAGTTTTTAATTTTCTCACTTATGTGGTTTGAATATGTCCTCTAAAAGCAAGTGTTGGAAACTTAATAACAGTTCAATAGAGTTGGGAGGTAGTGCCTACTGAGAGGTATTTAGGTCATGAGGGCTCTACCTTCAAAAATGGATTAATGTCAATTATAAAAGGGCTTGTGGTTGCAAGTTTGATCTCTTGGGCTTGGCACCCATAGCACAGTTGTTACAGCACCAGCCACATATACCAAGGCTAGTGGGTTCAATCCAGACCCAGGCCAGCTAAACAACAATGACAACTGCAATAAAAAAAATAGCCAGGTGTTTATCAGGCGCCTGTAGTCACAGCTACTTGGGAGGCTGAGGTAAGAGAAAGGCTTAAGCCCAAGAGTTTAAGGTTGCTGTGAGCTGTGATGCTAGGGCACTCTACTAAGGGCGACAGTGTGAGGCTCTTATCTCAAAAAAAAAAATTTTTTTTTGATCTCTTGCTTTCCTTCTTGCCCTCTTGCTTTCTGCTATGGGATAATGCAACAAAAAGAGTCTTGCCAGATGCTGGCCCTTCAGTCTTGACTTCCCGGCCATGAGTCAAATAAATTTATTTTATTTATAAACTACCCAGTCTCTGGTATTCTGTTACAGAAACACAAAATGGACAAAGACACCCAACAATTCTGATTTTCTAGTCTTTTCCATCTCAGCAAATAGAACCATTATTTGTTTAGGTACTTAAGCTAGACATCTGGGTATCATCCTTGATTTCTCTTCCAGATCTGATCTTGATTTTCCCTCCCCCTTCAGTTTATCCACAAGTCCCAATTATATCTCTGGCCTATGTACTTCTTTATCCCCTTGGCACTCCATTAATTCAAGCTCTCCATCTCTTGCCTGGCCCTTGCTGAGATTCCTACTTCTGTTATTTTTTTTTTTTT